TTTCCTTTGTATCAGTATAAAAAGAACGTGTTCTTCTTCATTTGTATCGAAACTCAGTCAATTGAATGCAAGATAGCTTTGTTCTCTCAAATTCATTTTAGCTTCATTTAAGCTCTTTTGTATATTTCACATGGTATCAGAGCTACTGATTTGCTTCAATGGCGAATTCCTCCAGCTCCCTCAACAATTCTGAGGAAATGTTGAAGCAATCTTCTAATCACACTGCTTCGGCTTCAGCTGTTAGCTTACAAGTCGTAAATCTGAAGCTTACTCAGAACAATTATCGTTTCTGGAGCTCTCAAGTTCTGTCTACTGTTGGTTTACATGAACTTGAAGAACATCTTCTCGGTAGAGTTTCCTGTCCTTCACCTTTATTAATTTTCACCTTTATTAATTTCTTATTTACTATTGAACAAGAGTTAGGTCAAGTTGGTAATACAGTAAGAGCGAGTAGTGTTTTGATTGATGAAAAATTGAATCCTGCCTACATAATGTGGAAAAGAACTGATAAGTTCCTAATGAGTTGGCTCTTAGCGTCAATCTCAGAAAGTATGTTTGGATTTGTGTCGATATGTAGAACCTCTACTGAGATATGGTTTGCCCTAGAAAATGAATTCATTACTAACTCTAAAGCTAGAGCTTTGCACCTCAAAAACCTACTTCAAACAACACAAAAGGGCAATCTAAGTGTAGGTGACCATATTAAGAAGATGAAGGAGATAGCAGAAAGTTTGTCTGCTAGTGGTTTAATAATAGCTGATGAGGATATTTTACAATATGTCCTAGATGGACTTGGTCCTGAATTTGATGCAGTAGTAGTAAACCTCACTTCCAGGATTGAGTCAAAATTTAACTCAGTTACACTTCAGGAAGCCCAATTTTTACTTCAAAAGTATGAAATTCGACTAGAGAAATTCAATTCAGTCGACTTGTATAACTGTTCAGCTCACCTTGCCTCAACTGGTAATCCTAACAACAATACTAGTATCCCTTCAAAAACTGATACTACAAGTCACCAACCTGATAAAGTTCCTATTCACAATGGTATACCCTCTCTAATATCTCTAGGTAATCCCAATTATCCCCAACTTCCTGTTATACCTACATCTCACCCTCAAATCTACAATCCTCATGTGTATAACAATCGGCCTTTTGGAAGTGGAGGAACATTTTATGGCCGAGGAAGGGGCAGAGGTACTGGAAGAGGAAGACTCATCTGCCAATTGTGTAATAAAGCAGGACACTCAGCGGGCCAATGCTATCACATATACAATTCTACTTATACAAGCATGGTGCAATCTCCAGTTGGAAATGTGTCACAGCAGCCTATCTCTTACTATGAGGAACTGCCCTATCAGTCACATAGTACACACTCTTATAGTGGTCAATCACATAATGCACATCCTTATGGTTCTTCTTTTGGCACTACTGGTTCAAATTTTCAGTAACTTGGCTCTGCTGGATCACAAATTGGTGCTCCTAGTTCACAGTTTTGTTCTATAGGAACTGTTCATCAGCAACTGAATGGTTCTTCACAACCCTCACAGTTTGATATGCAATGTTCTGGCACTATGAGTAATGCTGCTTTTAGAGTTCCTAGTCCACAGTTTCATAGTCAGAATCAGGCTCACTTTGTAGCTGTTGTTCTCAAGGTTAAATTGGTACAACTACTATTATATTTCTAATCATCACTACAACACCTCTATACAGCACTCTTTACCATCAAACCAACAAACATCACTTGCTACATCATTAACCACAACTGATCCAGTGTGGTATATGGACTCCGGAGCTACGGATCATGTCACTGCAGACCTGCATCAACTGACTACCAGTAAGAACTACAGTGGAGGTGATCAACTTCAGGTTGGCAATGGTGAGTATCTAAAAATATCCCATACTGGTCATACCTTTTTTCCTAGCAATTTACATACTAAATGGTTGCATCTTAAAAACATCTTGTGTGTTCCCAAAATCACAAAGAATCTACTTATCATTTCTAAATTCACCAAAGATAACAATGTTATAGTGGAATTTGATGCTCACTGTTGTTTTGTCAAGGACAAATCCACTGGAGCAATACTACTGCAAGGGGACCTTAAGGGTGGCCTGTACCAACTAATTGCCTTCTCCATCCTGCCTTCCTTCAGACCTCACATGTCCTCAACTGGCCAACATAGTACGCAACCCTTTCAACTTGCCTGTGTCAATACTGTTAATCATTCTGAATTCAGTTCTTGTAATAGAACAGGTTGTTCTAGTAGTAGTCTGTCTAATGTCAACCCTATAGTGTCTGATTTTAGTTCTGATGTTACTGTTAGTTCAGATGCTTTTGTTAATTCTTGTATCAGTAACTACACTCCACTTGCTGTTAATAAATGTGCTGATAATAAACCTGGTTCTATTTTTGATTTGAGTAACACTAATATTTGTATTGAAAATACTGTTTTTGATTTGAGTAACACCAATACTTGTACTGAACCTGTCTTTTCTGCTTCTGATATGCATGTTTTTGCTTCTGATATGCATTGTTTAACTGCAAAATTGCATACCACTGATATTATGGTTTGGCACAAACATTTGGGGCATCCACACTCCAAAGTGCAACATCTAACTACTTTGCAACATAAATTTCCTTTAAAACTAAACACTTCTCTGAACTCCAACTTCACATTCTGTGATGCTTTCCAATTAGGCAAGCTACATAAAAACAATTTCCCAATTTCTCATTCACATGCCACTTCTCCCTTGGAATTAATACACAGTGATGTTTGGGGCCTTGCTCCTTGTCCTTCTACTGAAGGATTTAAATACTATGTTCAATCCTTAGATGATTATAGCCGTTTTACATGGTTGTTTCCTCTCAAAACCAAGGCTGAATTAAGGTCTATATTTATTAAGTTTCATCACCTTGCTAAAAGGCAATTTGGATGCAAGATTAAGTACTTGCAATCTGATCAAGGTGGTGAATACAAAGCCCTTCTCCCATACTTGGTTGAGCAAGGAATTCAGGTTAGGTATTCTTGTTCTTATGTACATCAACAAAATGGTAGGAGTGAGAGAAAACATAGGCACATTGTAGAATCAGGACTTACCTTGCTTGCTTATGCTTCTATGCCTTTATCGTATTGGTGGCTTGCTTTTGAAACTGTCGTTTATTTAATTAATAGAATGCCTACTGCTGTACTCTAGAATATCTCTCCATATCAAATTTTATTTCATCAAGTTCCTGTTTATGAAAACTTAAGAGTATTTGGTTGTTCTTGTTTTCCTTATCTTAGGAGTTTTAACAAATGTAAATTTGATTTCCATTCAACAAAGTGTACTTTTGTAAGATATAGCTTAATACATAAAGGGTACAAGTGCTTAAAACCTGATGGACAGCTTGTAATCACCCATAATGTTCAATTTAATGAGTTTGAATTTCCTTTTGCCACCAGTGGTTCAACCTTTTCTTCTCAATCTCAGTCTTCTTCTACTTCACCTCAGCCCTGTGTCCTTGACACTCCTAGCCATACTTCTGTTTTGTCATTTCCCTTTGGGTTTACTCAACCTACTGCTACTAAATCTTCAACTCAACCTAAAACTTCCACTCAATCAGCTGCTACTAAACCTTCAGTTCAACCAACTGCCACTAACACTTTAGCTCAACCTACTGTCATTAAATCCTTTGCTGCTCTTAATTCCCATACAGTATCTTGCTCCTTGGACAACTCCAGTTCTGACAATGCAACAGTTGGTAAGAATCCTTATAATTTTGTTAATTCTCATACTGATTACTGTGATCATTACTCCACTACTTCCAGTGATCAAAACACTTCACACAATATATTTAAATCTTCTTCCCCACACACATTTACACCAGCTATGCCACATACATCTCCAGCAATCAATTACTCACCAAATAACACATCAAACCCTTCTCAATCATCCACTATCTCACCACCTGTTGTAGCTCCAATCCACTGTCCACTTGTTGATCATCTTACCTCCTCTCAGTTTCCTAGTAGTTCAACTAATTCTGGCCTTGTTAGAACATGTGTTCCTCCTGTTTCTCACACTGTTTCAGCACCAGTTAACACTCATACTATAGTCACAAGAGCTAAGTCATCTGTTCAGTTACAATCTGTTCCTCCTGACCAAGATAGCATGCACATAGCATACCTTATTGATGGATCTGAAACTGTTGAGTCAGAACCAATTTCAGTGTCTGCAGCACTTAGCAATGATAATTGGAAGGCAGTATTGAAATGTGAATATGATGCCCTTGTTCTTAACAAAACCTGGACCCTTGTTCCACCATCACCCGATATGAATGTAGTTGGGAATAGATGGGTTTTTCTAGTCAAATATAATATTGATGGCTCTCTGCAGAAGTATAAGGCAAGGTTGGTTGCTAAGGGATTCCAACAAACCCCTGGACTGGATTATTTTGAAACTTTCAGTCCAGTAATGAAACCCTCCACCATTAGGATTATCTTGACACTTGTAGTCACAAAAGGGTGGGATGTGTAGCAAATTGATGTCAACAATGCATTTCTGAATGGGGTGTTAACTGAAACTGTGCATATGAAGCAACCTCCTGGATTTGAGGACCAGTCTTTTCCACATGCTGTTTCAAACTCAATAAGGCACTTTATGGCCTTAAGCAAGCCCCAAGAGCCTAGTTTGATAAGTTGAAAACAACTCTTCAGCTAAAAGGATTCAAAAATTTAGTTTCAGATTCAAGCTTATTTAGTCTTCAACAGAATTCAGGTTCTACTTATATCTTGGTGTATGTCAATGATATATTGATTTTTGGTTCAGAAGAAAAGTTTATTAGAAATCTGATGAGAAATCTGAATGATGATTTTGCCCTAAAAACCCTTGGGTCACTTAAGTATTTTCTCGGGCTGGAAGCAATAAGAACATAGGCTGGTCTTCATCTCAAACAGTCCAAGTATGTTTAAGATCTTCTCATCAAAACCAAAATGATGGAAGCACATTCTTGTCCTACACCCATGACTGTTGGAGTTAAATTGAGTTCTAATGACAGTGAACTATTCCAAAACCCCAACCTATATAGAAGCACTATAGGAGCACTCCAATATTTAACACTTACTAGACCTGACATCAGCTTTACTGTGAACAAGTTGAGTCAGTTTTTACAGGTTCCTACTGAACTTCAATGGCAAGCTTCCAAAAGGGTTTTAAGGTACATTAAAGGAACTAGAACAATATCTCATGGGTTACAAGCAGCAGCAAAGTTCAGTTTAGAGTGCTATGCAGATGCTGATTGGGGTGGAAATCTTGAAGATAGAAGGTCCACAAGTGGATATTGTGTCTACCTAGGACCAAACTTGATACAATGGAGCTCTAGGAAACAAAAGGTTATAGCACTCTCTTCCACTAAAGCTGAATATAGGGCTTTAGTTCATACGGTAACAGAAGTAGCCTGGTTGGAGAGTATGTTTCATGAACTAGGGTTGAATTTTCACACTATTCCAGTCATTTGGTGTGATAATGTTAGTGTTGGAGCGCTTGCATCCAATCCTGTGTTTCATGCCAGAACCAAACACATTGAGATTGATGCTCACTATATTAGAGAACAAGTATTAGCAAAAAAGGTAGCAATTCAGTATGTCCCATCCAAGTTACAAATAGCTGATGTTCTTACTAAAACATTATCAGCTACTCATTTTACTGAACTAAGAGACAAACTAAATGTAACTCATTCTGGTGAGCTGCTGCATTTGTGTGAGACGAGCTGCTTGTAGCAACCAGTTCGTCACGAGCTACTGCATTTGCATGAGACGAGCTGCTTGTAGCAACCAGTTCACCACGAGCTTCTGCATTTGCATGAAACGAGCTGCTTATAGACCAGTTCGTCACGAGCTGCTGATGCATGAGACGACTAAGCAACCAGTTCGTCACGAGCTGCTAATGCATGAGACGAGCTGCTTGTAGACCAGTTCGTCACGAGTTGCTGATGCATGAGATGACTAAGCAACTAGTTCGTCATGAGCTGCTGATGCATGAGACGAGCTGCTTGTAGCAACCAGTTTGTCACGATCTGGTGATGCATGAGACGAACTGCTTGTAGCAACCAGTTTGTCACGAGCTGCTGCATTTGCATGAGATGAGTTGCTCGTCCCTCTGCTGGATTGTGAATTAAAGTTGACAGTGAAAAGTCAGAGCTGAACCTGGGAATGAAGATCCTAAACCAGGTTTGGTTTGAGGGGAGATGTTGATATAAGAGGACGAAAGTGCAAAGTTGTTAAGTGATTGGTTGCTTTTGATAATAGGCCAAAGTGGTGTCATTTTAAGTAGAACTTTCAGCTCACTTTCATTTTACTCTTTTCTCTGTATCAGTATAAAAAGAACAGTGTTCTTCTTCATTTGTATCGAAACTCAGTCAATCGAATACAAGATAGCTTTGTTCTCTCAAATTCATTTTAGCTCTTTTGTATATTTCACAGGCTTCTCATAAGATTTTGGTTATTTCTACCCTTGTCTTCTACACTTAATTACATTAGTACTATTAATAATACTACACCTACAAAGATTTTCATACAAAGTGAGGTGATAAAAAATGAATAAAAGAGTGAATGCAAAAAGTCAAATTCATTATATTCACTCTTCTATTCATTTTTTTGATCACTTTATATGAAAATTTTTGTAAGATTTCTTTGTAAATGTAGTATTTCTCTAATACTATTGCTTTCATGAAAATGACAAAACTACTTTTGATTTATATATTAACAAAAATTTGGTTGTTAAGAATGTATATTTAATATAATGAATTTTGAATTTTGGGAAATTCATTAACAAAAAAGTGAAACTGCCAATTAGGGGTTCTAAGATTATGTTGTAAGTGTAATACTGCTATTTTTATTTTTTTTAATTTGACTCTTAAAATAGGTCAAATAGGTAGTTATTTCTAGAATGGAATTATTGCATGTTGATGCGTAACAAGATAAACCTAAGAACAATGAAATTAATTTCCAAGAACAAAGAAAAAGCAAGAACGCAGCCTGAAGATTTTGAGGATATGTTTTCTTATTTTTCATTCATTAGTCAAACTTCTCTTATAATTACAATTGGCAATCCATGAGATTGCTTATCTCAGTCGTTTATTTTGTTACAAGAACAAACACAAGAGGAGCTGCTGATCGTAGGATCTTTTCTGTTTTTCCAGAACTTTGCAGCAGATTTGACTGTGAGGAACTTCAAACTAACGTTTCAGTAATAGACTTTAGAAAATGAAACCAGAACTGCAGCTGTAAACATTTAACGCAAGTTTCTTTTACTAACGGCAGAATTTGAATACTTTAAGGCTTTTGCTAAATCTTCTGCTTCCTTCTTCAAATTTCAATTCATTCTACAAGTTGACTGTTTTCTGCTGGGATTGACTTTAATTAAGAGTTTGAGTGCAGCTTGCATAACTCACCACAAGGCGGGCCATCCAATTTGAAAGAATTTTCATGGTTTACTACAGTAGAAGTGTCTATGAGTCTATCTATTTTTTTTATCACATGGACATATATTTTCTGAAAAATATTAATATAGGATACACAGCGCACATGAAATATAGAAAATATATATATAATAACAGTTATTGCATATGCAGGTGAGCTTATGATTTATGTATATATATGCTATATTTGAGTTTATGAATGTATATAGACCCAAAAGAGGATCCATTCATTTTAAATTATACCACATTTAGGGATATTATTGTTTTTTTAATTAAGATTAGAAAAAAGAAATAGCTAGGAACTTTACCGTTTGGGGCAGTCTTTGCCGCAACTTTTTGGATGTACAAGTTACTATAAGAAATCCTAAAGCAACAAAGTATCTTGAAAGTATAAAGCTATAAACACTTTTTACAATTATAAAGTATGATGGAGATGAGATTAAATATATGTATGAATTATAAATCGAACAGCCTCGAAGAAATAGAGACAACACATGAAAGCCAGACGCAACCACAATCTTCAGTTTTTTTCTTTTATCTTTTTGGTGCTTCACTTTTCTGGTGATTTGCTTAATTTATATAATTAAAAAATAAACTAACTTTTTTTTTTATTTGATCACCGAGAATGTTTAGATCAGTTTGCTGGCACCTCAACTATTTTCCTAGGACCTTGGAACCAGTAGCGGATCCAGAAATTTCTGTTAGGGTGGACCAAAATAAAAATTAATTGCATATAATATTCATATTTTGTTTTTTCTAGTTGAAATTGTCACAAAAAGAAAAAAAAATTATATATTAATATTTTTTTTTCAAAAAAAGCTTGGAATTATGTGACGGGTAAGAGTCCTAGTGGTCACCCTCATTAATGTCTGGGAGGACTCGAACTCAAGAGTTCGTTAAACTTATTTTGCTATTTTACCATCAAACCATCCAATGGTGGTTAGAGAAAAAAAAAGTACCTATTAAAGAAAGGAATTAATAAGATACATATACTAATCATTAATTAAAAGTCTATTAAACCCCCCTGATAGAATTTGAGGTGGGACTGACTCATCATCCAATAAGGTCTTGTTGAATGGGAGGATTATCCCCTCTTATAAACCAATAGACTTGAGTGTGTCTAGTTGGTGTGGGACTCCAACACTCCCCCTCACGGTCAAGCCCATATGTTAGGTCATGCCTATTGATGGAGGTAGTTGCTGGATCTAACTCTTCACCCGCTGGTCAAGCGCTCAGCTCAACTGAACTTAGGCTCTGATACCATATGAGAGTTAGGGATTTGAGAGCAAAAACAGAGAGAAAAGAGGGATTAGAACTTTTCTTAATATTTCGATAGAGTGAACAGTGTTACAAGTCAGCTTTAATAGCTGATTATTTCAACATAAAAACGACGACACTTTAACCTTTCTAAAACATCATCGTTTGTCCCCCCCTCCCCCCGGGCGGTAAATGATAATATTAAGAAGAATAAATAATACAACCTACAATAGGGAAGCCCCGCCTAAACCGGCCCTTGGACATGCCGAAGAACTGTAGCAAGCAAAAGAAAACAAAACAACAAAGGATATACAATCCCTAATCATCAACCAGCACAGCTTAAAAAAGAAAGGACCTTGGGATCAGCACAAACAGACCCTGTACATGGGCGGCAATTGACAATAATGATTTCTTCTAAACCCAACCTTACAAATTTTTTCTTACAATCTCGACGTGACAGCTCGCAATTAGTCAACTCGTAATTGATTTTTTCTTACAATCTCGACGTGACAGCTCGCAATTAGTCAACTCGTAATTGAGTAGACAAGACCTATAACGAGCAGGTGAAACTTATTTGTTAGCTAACAATTATAGGCTGTCATGTCGGAGATTATGAAATAAAGTTTGTGAGATTATGTTGTAATATAGTATCGCCTGGCAATTAAAAACTCTTTTGGTATACATGGCGATAAAATTGGTCAAAAAGAAAGAAAATAACTGATCTCCAATTCATGGTTAATATTCTATTTTTCCGTTTTAAGTTTTATCTCTTCTACATTTTAAGAACTCCAACTGAAATGGTAATTAAATAAGAGTATAACATATTTTATTAAGAAAAATCTAACGTATTCTTTTTATCTGCTTAATTTGATGCTTTGATTTTACCAACCGCTAGATTTTTATCTAATGTATCATTACTACTGTTCTTTTCAAGTTAGTTATAATAATTTATTAAAATACCAATTAATTACACAATTTATTAATCAAAATACCTAAATTAATCGAATACATATAATCAAACATTACAAAAACATGTTAAAGACGTAAACCCATCATCAAAAGTTGTGCAAGTTTTGTAGGTGTGAAGGAGGTGGACGAAGTGGCAGAAGTGGCTGGCCGGAGGTGCATTGCCCACTTCTTTACTGGAGTTTTCAGTAGTTCTAACTTCTATCTATCTAACTTCATCAGTATTATGAGTCTTTTCCGTACTGAGAATAGAAATTAATTCATCGTTGTTAATTTTGCTTTTGACACAATGGTATCGGGAGTNCTCCATGTCACTGGCTTTACTTATTTTCTTCTTTGACCTTTTGCTTTACATCAGCCGCCTGTTGGCACAAACTGTATCCAATTAAGGTAGCTACCTGTTTCATTTAATATTCTCTCTTTTGCTATCTTTCTTTTCAAATTTAAATTGTTACTTATTTTTCATGTGAAAGTTTTCATGTAATTTCTTGTTAGTTAATAAAATGAAACCCCTTTCTTGTTATTGTAATTGTCCAGTACCTGTCGAATGAGATGGTGTAATATTTCCCCTGTATTTGTATTTGCAATAAGATGAAGTAATATTTAATTTACTTGTTGCTTAAATCATGTTTAACGTTCGAGTTTCTGTTTGTTCCTACTCGTTAATAAAATTAAAACGGCTTTTTCTTGTTGAAATGGTCCTGTACCTGTCTGCTAAGATATGTAATATTTCCTCTGTTTTTGTACTCGTAATCAGATGAAGTAATAATTCCTCTGTTTTTGTATTTGTAGTAAAATCATTTTTCTCTTCAATTGTCAGCTTCATCATCTCCCAAGTGTCCCAAATCCGTCAGAGAATGCTCTCACCTCCATCGTCACAGCCACCGTCTTCCTCGTCTATTGACTCAGAGATACAAGCAGCCGTTGTTGCCGATCAGAATTACAACCAGTTTCTCCACCAATGGAAAAATATCGTCATGGTATTTTGCTTCACATCAGTATTTGAAATAGATCTCTGTTTGCATAAAACTAATCCCAGCTATATATATATAACTGATTCCAAAACTGAAATAGGGA